GTTCGAAATCAAATCAGTCTTTGGATTATACCTTGCTTTGTCAAGATAATGAGAGGAAGGATTTAGCTTTGCTCCTTGATAAGTTTGAGGCACAGAAGGGTTATTGCCATGGCGATGTCCGAATCAAACCAGAATATGGGGGATTTGTTTCTGGAGGGTTGCCCAAATGAGTGAGTATTGCTGGTACAAGGGTGGTCAGATTAGATTGTTATTAGAACACTGATCAGATATGCTGTTGCTCTATTTCTTGGGGCTTTTCTTTGGATCCATTCATTAGAAGCCAACGGTTTTAGAAACTTGTTCAAATATTGGCATGTGTGTGTGAGAGATAGAGAGAGAGAGAGAGGGGCGGACAGAGAGGGAGGGGAGAGGGTTATAGAGAGAAGAATAGGTGCACTTAATGAATTTAATTATGTCATTTTTGTTCGCTGTTTATAAACATTGTAAGAGAGAGAGAAAATTGGCTATTTTTAAATCTTCATAAGATGTGTGTATGTCTAAAATGTGTCATCTATAATCGATTTGTACACGCAGTAAACCATCTCCAAAAGATGTGTTCATATGGTTCATATTTTCAGTAGATGTGTTCATAATTGCTAGTAGATGTGTTTATATAATACATCATCTTTGATAGATGTGTTCATACAATATATCATCTTCAGTAGATGTGTTCATATACAATACACCATCTTCAGTAGATGTGTTCATACAAGACACCATCTTCAGTAGATGTGTTCATACAATACATCATCTTCAGTAGATGTGTTCATACAATACATCATCTTCAGTAGATGTGTTCATACAATACATCATCTTCAGTAGATGTGTTCATCCAATACACCATCTTCAGTCGATGTGTTCATACAATACATCATCTTCAGTAGATGTGTTCATACACTACACCATTTTCATTAGATGTGTTCATACACTACACCATCTTCAGTAGATGTGTTCATACGATACATCATCTTCAGTAGATGTGTTCATACAATACACAATCTTCAGTAGATGTGTTCATACAATACACCATCTTCAGTAGATGTGTTCATAAAATACACCATCTTCAGTAGATGTATTCATACACTACACCATCTCTAATAGATGTGTTCATACAATACACAATCTTCAGTAGATGTGTTCATACAATACACAATCTTCAGTAGATGTGTCCATACAATACACCATCTTCAGTAGATGTGTTCATACAATACACCATCTTCAGTAGATGTGTTCATACACTACACCATCTCTAATAGATGTGTTCATACAATACACAATCTTCAGTAGATGTGTTCATACAATACACAATCTTCAGTACATGTGTTCATACAATACACAATCTTCAGTAGATGTGTTCATACAATACACAATCTTCAGTAGATGTGTTCATACAATACACAATCTTCAGTAGATGTGTTCATACAATACACCATCTTCAGTAGATGTGTTCATACAATACACCATCTTCAGTAGATGTGTTCATACACTACACCATCTCTAATAGATGTGTTCATACAATACACAATCTTCAGTAGATGTGTTCATACAATACACAATCTTCAGTACATGTGTTCATACAATACACAATCTTCAGTAGATGTGTTCATACAATACACAATCTTCAGTAGATGTGTTCATACAATACACAATCTTCAGTAGATGTGTTCATACAATACACCATCTTCAGTAGATGTGTTCATACAATACACCATCTTCAGTAGATGTGTTCATACAATACATCATCTTCAGTAGATGTGTTCATACACTACACCATCTCTAATAGATGTGTTCATCCAATACACCACCTTCAGTAGATGTGTTCATCCAATACACTAACTTTAGTAGATGTGTTCATACAATACACCATCTTCAGTAGATGTGTTCATACACTACACCATCTTCAGTTGAAGTGTTCATGTACATCATTATCTAATTTGACTTTGTGTTCAATCCAAAATTATATCTGTAAAGAAAGTGTGATAGATAATAAAGTTTTTTTTAATGATCAGCATGCCTTTAAATTCATACAGATAATATACATTTTTTTTGTGTGAGTGCTTATACTATAATATAAATAATTAAAGTAGATTCTAAGTGCAATTTTTACAGTATGGTTTGTATTGTAAACTAAATTACTTACTGCTCCCATTCATTGTTGAGTGGTTGTACATACATGAAAATGTCATAAATATTTCCATTGCTTAGAAATAAGAGATGTTTTTCCACGCATTGCAGAGTTACAGTCCACAATTTTATCAAGCATGTATGTTCAAACACTTTAGTAACAGAATATTACTATATATCTAGCAGTAATACACTCTGGAGAGTGAGAAACAAGAGTTTGTAAAACAAAATCTTCAGTTGCATTGTTTGATAAGTGCTCTGACAGTAGTCCTCAAATATTGGTGTAGGATTCCATAAATCATATTTCATTTATGAGGACCAAACTCCAACAGTAGCTACGTGTTGAATAGTCTGTAACCTTAACTTGTTTCCTAGCAACGTAAGGTCTTCAAAAAGAACATTCTTTGCTTATCAAAGGAAGAGTAAATTTGCTTTTCATGGAGTATTTTTATCAATATTTAGAGCAGTCTGCATAGAGTTGCTGGGTCATTTGTGTGTTAAAGCTGGTGGTGTACGCTTGATTTGTGCTTGTTCATAGGAGGGATTGTATCTTTGCTTTGCACTACATGTACATGTGAGTATATACATGATAACGTTGGTTGGGAAGGTTGAGAAAGGAAAGGGTCTAATATCGAAAGACAATATTAGACTTGAGGCTCTTCTTATTGTCAATCAAAGATATATTACTTTTATATTTCTATAGGTATATATTTCTGTCATATACTAGTTTGATCACTTGTTAATTTATGAGGCGAACTGAGCTGAAAATGTCAATATGAGCACAGCTCTACTCCAGACCAGCAATCTTAAAGTTGAATAATGAACTCCTGAACTATAAATCATTAATCTTATGAAGCTATAAAACAAAAATAATATTTGTTTGGAAATTATAATTTTTATATCGTAACCAGTATCTTTTGCCATTTCTTATTCATAAGAGGCATCATATGTGAACGAGCATTCATGGGTAAAGGTCATCACCGATTTATTGATCGTTTTTCTTTTGTTGTTTGTTGTAGTTTTATTCAGATAATATTCTCCACATATCTGTAAATTATAACTCATAAACAGTGAGTACACAAATAACCTGTGTTCAACGCAGTTGCATAGTTTAATCCACACGTCTCATTGACAGTCAAACCTGTCTATAGCGACCGCCCAAGGGAAACACAAAAAGTGGTCTTTATAAGTAGTTGGTGTTTGTAAACAGGTTCCTTTAGTACATGTTTCAATGAGAAACCATTTTCAAGGGAAACAAACAAAAGGTCTTTGTAGACAGGTGGTCACTAAAGCAGGTTTGACTGTACTTACATGTTTTTTTAAAAAGGCTGGGGTAAACTGATGCAGTCTTCTGCGTCATTTGTGAACAAGCCAATGTGGATGCTTGATTTTGTGTTTAAAAGCAGTGTGGTATTTCTCTCGTTAAAGATAAAGGTGAGTTCTGGTCATCCGATTGCATTGTGAAAGAAAAGGTGTGAAATGGATCAGAAAAGGTTGATCATGTAGCATGTAAGTATTGGTGTGTACTGCAAAGTTCTGGAGTCATCAAAATCATAATAAATTTAGCCCAGTCTTGGTAAAGTAACAAGCACTGTACACAGAAAGATGTATATGGGACTACACAAATGGTGTCGGGGCTACTAACCTTGATTTCCTAATCTTTCTATGCTCATTACTCAGCCAGTATACATTTTCTACCGAAATTGTTGGGCAAATGACATTTATTTGTATTCTTGAACATTCAGTGTAAGTTTTGTTTGTTTCTGTGAGAATTCATTTTCTTTTTTTTTAACCAGAACTCACCTTTATCTTTAAACTAACACTTTTCTACCACAAAAACAATCCATCAGATGACAGCGACAGCTGAACATGGCTGCATCTTTGTCAGATTCTAATCAATAGTGTTGTCAAGTTGTCAAGTGTCGAGAAATCCCCCTCCCTCCCCTGTCTCTATACAAGACAACAGGCATTGGAAGCTACATTTGTTAAAATATCGGAGAAGGTGACCACAAAATGTGTCAAGTAGATTGAAAATTGCTGCAGAAATGTTTTTATCATCATGCCTAGATTAACTTTTTAATAGTTTGGTTGTGAAATGTTTCATGCCCGGTTTAATAATAATCACGACTATAATGGAATTTAATTTTTTATGTGCAATGGTTAATTTATTGATAAGTAAAATATTGAAATGCATTATTCTTGCTGTGCTTGTGTATTGATTCTTTTTATTAGTGCAAATTTACAATTGTTTTTTTCCTGATTCTCACTCTTTATGACTTTGTTTTCTTGAATAACCTAATCCTTATTAATGATTGTATTTCAAACAATTCTGCTGGTACTGTGTGATAGGATGTTCTGTCGTTTTGGGTGCACAATTTATAGCTAACAATGGTACAAAAACCATCACATTTTCCATAAGACTATAACAGCTTGGGAAGAAGCATCAAGTAGTTTTATTTTAAATATTTTAATAATACAACTGGAAGTAGAACTGCTACTGACAAAGGCAATTTATTTCCTTAGGCCATAAGGAAAATGTATTTTGAACACACATTGTTCATTACATACAGTACTTGAAGTTTGACGAGAATTTTTGATACATATGTAGTTCCCCTTCAGCCCCCCCTGAGGAGGAAAATCCCACTCAAAAATTGATTGATGGTTAAACATTGTGCTTGTGATTTTCAACAAGAGCGAGTCTACATCTCTTAATTTGATAATTCCCAAACCACAGAATACATCATTTCTTATGTGCTACATAATCAACCTTTTCCAATGGCTTCCTTACAGTTTCTTTCATAATGTCATTGCATGAAAGGTACTCAACTATATTTTTAATTTGATATTTCTTGCCTGTTTTGTATTCTTTTCCGTAGGGGCTCAGGGTCCTTCCAGTTCTCACCCAGTGCAGAAGACAGTATCTTACAAGATGATGGGTAAGTGTTCCACAAAATATTGACAATGTATAAGGGCTCCACACTAACAGGAGCCCAGTTAATATAGACCCTGAATTTTAATGTCAGACCCCCGCCTGTCAGACCCCCCACCAGCCAACTTCTATTTCAACTTAGGTTTAAAGTGATTTATATCATTTCCAGGAATTAATTAGTGCCAGGTACCCATCAATATCATCAATAAATAAAATCATCATTCTGAGCACAATGTATATTAGTACGGAATATGATTTACTTGCACCCATATAGTTTCTTGTGATCTTTTGTATTCTCTTGAAACGTCTAGTTCTTTATTATTTTTTGATATCAGAGAAAAGCCAGTGTAACACAAGCCATCGACCTTATTCAACTCCAATGTATAGTGTTCATGAATGATGTTTTTATAAGAGACAAGAAAGTAAATTAAAGAGGGAACAAAAACTGATGCATGAATGGCATTTATTTGATCTCACAAAACCATGTTGATGTCAGTGCTTGTAAATCTATTAGCTTATGGATGTTGGATGGATGAATTTACGTCATGGTAGAAGGAACATGTCTAATTTAATCAAACCTAATTTGTTTTTTATTAGTTCTTGAATAGCATGTGATTACAAAGATCCATTATTAAAACCTGCAGGTGCACCAAACATATTTTTTCTCAAAGGGGGGGGGGGGGGGGGGGGTTTTAAGACTAAAGTCAGTGACATAGCTACATGGGAGTGCACATGCCCCAATTAACATGACAACATATAAAGGGAATTAAAAGAGTGAGAAAGAGAGAGAAAGAGAGAGAAAGAGAGAGAAAGAGAGAGAAAGAGAGAGAAAGAGAGAGAAGAGAGAGAGAAAGAGAGAGAAAGAGAGAGAAAAAGGAAACGGTGAGAGGGGCAAAGGAACATCATAAGAAGATGGTGGGACCACTACACCCTTTTCCATCCCCAGGTTTTCACCAAGTATAGACAGGTACCCCCACCTAATGCCCCCCCCCCTCCCCTCAATGTCTAGAGCCACACCATGCCACTGAGTGAAGGCAAGTCGGGTATTGATCTTTAGCTCATTTTGATAACAAAAATCAAACTAAAGAACCTAAAAAACCTGTTGTATGCTACACCCTTGTCACCATACAATGATTCTGTACACATAGTCTACACAGACTATTGGCTTTCTGTAGTTAACCTTGAAATTGAAAACACCCTTAACAAAATTAATCAGTAAAGAATTTTCAGGACATAATCATAACAATAACTTACCCGGTAAGCAGGCGTGCTCTCCCGATTCACTCCACACTATGCACAAAAAAGGTCGCACATCGACGCATTCACCAATCATTCAAGATTATTCAATATCCATTACCTGAAATTAAAAGTGATAGGAAACCAACTTTTGCTTTATTCAATGCGGCAACAACATTTGCATCATTAAAAACCTTCCTTCTCTTCACTAGCTTGAAATTCACAAAATTTAATTCATTATTAATGCTTTCACCCTTCAGTTCGGGACAGCGTGCGTACATAGTTCAGTTCATACATTTCAAAGGGAAGAGCTGGTCGGAAAAACATTGTCAGAAAGAGATCGAATGAGTACTGGGGTTATAACATTTTGAAGCCATGCCCATGACTGATTTTTGTTGTTGTTTTTCTTTACATACAAGGTAAGACCACCGTACACCTTATGGACCAGCTACGATTAGATTTGGGAAACATCGGAAATGGCATAGGATATAAAGTTCATAAAGGGCAAGTCTGGCCCATTTGCAAGTTTAATTGAATAAAGAAGGAAAAATTTAATATCCAAAACTGTGAAAGTTTCATCAAAATTGGACGAAAATTAAGAAAGTTATGGAATTTTAATTCTTCACATTATTTCATAAAAGTGATATGTATCACATACACTGTATGCAAATTAATGAGTTGGGGATGTCACCCCCTTACTTTTTAGTTTGTCCCTTTTGTTCATTAAAAGGACAAAAGCTAAAAACAGTTTTTTTTTAAGTGGGGGTGGGGAAGTCATTGGGTCTTTGTGAATTTGGGGCCTTTGTGCTATGTGAATATATTGGTGTTTTGTTTTTAATCTAGGCCTCTTGAATTAGAATACATTTCAAAGTTATAATGACCATTGACCTCATCCTTGCTACCACTCCCAGGCCGAAAGAAGGTAGTCTTGCAAGTGACATTGTAGATTTAGAATGGATTGTCATGTCGTAACGGTGACTTTTAAGTTTTAATGGTGACCTTTGACCTTGTCTCTGCTAGGCCTGATGAAGGTGGTCCTGAAGGTGACATTGATGCAGTCCAGTTCCAGTACCAGGATCCTGATGAGAACCTTGAGGAGGATAACCTGCTGATGGCCAGGACCTTACACTACATGAACCGTCAGCAACAGGAACTAGACAGGTAGGAACTGGACTACTTTCTCCTTGTTAATTCTCACATTTTCAGAAACCAGGGGCCACTTTATCAAAACCATCTCAAGTTTATTAAGTTTGTGTAAATCTCATTGAAACATGTGTTAATTCACATATTTCCATGGAATGTGTGATAACTTGGATTTATTACAGTTTCAAGAAAATGGGCCCTGGTAACTGATAGATTTACATTTATTCATGTTTCCCCCAAATCCATGGTAACAAACTTCTTTAAAGGCGGTGCCTGTGACACATGGGCACCCAAATCAGAACACCCAAAATTTTGACATTTGTACTGTACACATCTGGACCCCTGTCCAAAAACTTTGGTGTCGAGCCCTGGTACAAGATTTGAGATGTTTAATTTTCTCTACATGAAGCAGTTGTCATGTAATACTACACTGCAGATGCAATTAGGCACCTCTTTATTGCTTCATTTAACTAGACCCTGAATTTTGGTTGTGATTTTCTTTTGTATGTTTTGTTTTATTTTGACATAATTTTTTTTTAAATGTGAGAGACATCAACTTCACACACAACTTGGTTCGTTTTTTTGTGGCTGCTGTCAGCTAGGCCCTGGTTTTTTTAATGACAAGTTTGTGTGTGTGCTGTTATGTTTTATTTTGCTTTAAGAAAAATAAATGTGCAAGACATTAACTTAAGAACGATCTTTACTTTGGTTTTCAACAGTGTTGATCAACCTCCCTGCTTTGATTTGGTTTGTCTGTATATTCATAAACATTTTGTTAGTTGCCCGCATGAAGGCTGTTACTGTTAATGACAATCCATGGCTCTAATGATCTTCTTGTGGGCAGCCAATGAATTATACCCTCATCTCTGCTGTGTTCATAAGTTTAAACCCAAACCGTCGATGGAGATGGGGTACGATGTGTTCATGGACCCTGGGACTCTCAACATGTGTTGATGTGGTGTGTGATTTTCATAGGGCATTAATTCCTAAAGTGCATCAGCATTTTACACGGCTTAAGTGGTGTTATTCTTCCATTGGGGCACGAGAGCTGGCCAATAAAGTGCTTTTCATCCCTGTAATTGCAAAGTGGAGATGCATTGTAAACTGATTTAGAAGTAGATCTTTAAAGCCCAGTATGTGTAGGCCAACAGACATTTAGCCAACAGATATTGTGATAGTCTCTAATATTCATTCTATCTTGTACACTGTAGGAAAATAAAAAGAATATCTATGCAGGATGTTAATGATGCTTTAAAAGCCCTAGGACCAACTGAAAATCAATTTTAAGGTTCTTTTTTTTCTTTCCTTCGTTGTAATATAAACATATAGAGTTTGACCAATCACTTCCTTGCTAGCGTTTGGGAAGTATATCGTCTGTTTGGAATCAGAAGGGCATTATTTCATATAATATTTCATAGGCTTTAATATTAATGCCCTGCTGGCTCCAAACAGACAAATTATCATGTAAGAAATCAATAGCACTTTCCGGTATCAAAGAGAAATGAGTATGAATATTGAGAGACATACTACATGGCATGTATTCTGTATGAAGTGTTATTTGTTATTTGTGAATGCTCTCAGGAGATGATATAACTCATCTTGGTTTTAGGATAAATAGATGAATACCTGACACTGACGAACATCGATATGAGCGTATTATGCATTGTGCCATTTTGATATCTTTTCCTGATATGAACATACTCTTTTAAATCAGAATGTTAATATTGTATGCATCTTCTCTTTGGAAGATGAACAAAAAAAGACCAGTTGTAGTATTGATGGAGAGGAGATGTATGCAGATATATTCTGTACATTCTCTTTGAGTTATGATGATTTACCTGCTCCTCACAGCCAGAAGGGCATTAACTCATAGACCTCAACACAGAGTTAACACCCTTCTAGCTTTCAACAGATGATGTCTTGTCTGAGTCAAAAGTGTATCGGGCTACAACATGGACGTAAAGGTCACAACTGAGACGTACATTTATAATCAATCTCAATAATTTGATTCAATAATTGTTACTGATTGTGCCCATACTTGGTACGTGTAGCAAATAAAGGGTGACATTGGTGCCATCACAGGGACTTGAACCATATTCCCTATGATCACCAGTCCGGTGACTTATGCACTAGACCATAACACCTGTACAACTTCCTCAATGTTTTCCTTGGTTTACCATGCAGTGCTTGAGATAACACTTCGGCTGAAGGCTCAAGTACACTGGATTGTCTGATGTCTTGAGAATGTTGGTTTGCCTTAAATGTTAATATAAAACACTAGTGGTCAAGTATTAGAACAGTACCTGCGTAACTTGAATCGTGGATGAATAGGCAAGTGATGTCCTTTGGTTTCTAACCACACATTTCTCAGTGGTCAGACGAAGAATGGTGCTTTACACACCCCTGAATATTCTTGAAGTTCAGCGGTAAAGTGCTCTTTTGTAGCCAAATGTCATGCATTTTGTGTCAACTATGTTTGCCTTAGATGTAAGAATATGCATTGGTTCCAGGAAACCTCTTTTGTTGTACTGAGGTACACTAATTTAGGCACAAAACTTTTATCTTTCCCTTGTGGTAAAATCTCACATCAAGCAATCTGTTCTTTGAAAGTTTTAAAACACACTCACAAAGATTTCAATAAATAAACTCAAGGAGAATATCAATAATCTATTTGTTCATAGGAATAATGTTTGGAATACGTCATTATCATGTACCTGCATTTCAATAAGTTACACACAAGGCTATTGCAATTTCCCTGGGATGATTTCCTAAAAGTCTTTAAGATTATGTTTTTCCTGCTTGGAAATTGAAATAATAAACACCCCACTACAACAGCTCTGCAGGGAGATGAAATATCATAACAATCCAGAATTTATGAAACTTACATGAGGTATGAAGATGAAAAATATTGAAATTAAAATCTTTTATTTTGAGCCAGAATGACATTTACAGAGCTGCGAACCATTCCGTTTTTGCCGGAATTACTCCGTTTTTTCCTCCCAATTACTGTATTATGTTTTTTCTTCATAAAATATGTTTTTTAATAATTTTTTAAATTTTTTAATTTTAATTTTTTTTTTTTTTTTACATACTGCATGTCAAACAACTGCCCTAAAATGGTGATTTGATCACAAATTCAATAGAAAACTAATTTAAAAACATACTTGAAGAGAAAAATTAAAAAAAAAAAATGAAATCCCGATGATAACAAAAATAACCACAAAAAAAAATTACCTGCTTGTATGGAAAAAAACAGCATGATGAATGAACATTTCTGCATTGGAAGTGTGTTGCGCGTGGTTGTAAGTTTTGTTTTTATGAATTCCTTTTTTTTGCTTGAAATTCCTTTTTTTGGTGGCACAAGGTTGGCAGCTCTGCATTTACTCTGTGTTAAATTATATGAGTAAACACCCTTCCGGCTTTCAGCAGATGAAATGCTGTTTGATCAGCTTTCTGCAGATTAGAGATTAAATGCTTATTTTTCCGCTCTGGACTTATGCACTCTAGATTGTCTTATTGTTTTGAGTATAACATACACAGAGTGTGTGTTACAAAAGTCAACTGGCAGTCCACTGTTTTGTTCTATAAGTCGACTTAAGCGGATAAAGAGTTAAGTATGCAATGACCGCTGGATGACTGCTCTGCAAACCTAGCCTGGTAACAAGGCAGAATCTTTTCTTTATGTCATAATTTAATAAAATTCAATCAGAATTGTTGTTCGTTCCGTCGGAAATCAAATGAATATAATCTGCATATGTACTTTGTCTTTGTATGTCCTTAACCAATTTAGATGGGAGGGGAGGGGGGGGGGGGGGATATTTGACTACCGGTACCAATAATGTCATTGTCATACTCCTTAGCAATATCCAGTTGTAGAATAAAGAGTGTGTGCATAGAATGTATGAGCGTGATATATTTCACATAAAAATCATTCAAATATTGCTGTCCTGCTACCAAGATTAGGCTTTAAAAATGCTTTAAAAATACAGAATTGTTTATACCTCCAATCTTTGAACCTCATCTGACTGAGTTGCATTTTTCCCTTTTGAAGTTATGCTAAATCTATTCTCATTTGGAGAGAAATGTGTCATCCAACCTGAAGGTAGACTAGTCGAGGCAATCCACGATCCCTCAGCTCACAGATGGTGAGGTGGATCTGAGTGTCTGTTACACAGCCTCATTTCGATTCAGAAAAGTGTGCCAGTAATTGATTCTCTCCCGCCTCTTGAATTACAACAATTCCCATCTCTCTGTGCCGTGTCTGTTCCCTTAATGATACTTTAACTCCTCCCGTTGAGGACCCTGGGGATCTAAACGCCTCATGAGCTAGGACCCTGGGGATCTAAACTGCCGGGTGAGGACCCTGGGGATCTAGAGCATATCTGTCTGCGGCTCTGAATGCCCCCTTCCCTATACCTTTCCTATATGTCGTCCCACTTACTATGATGGCTCCTCTCTCACTCCCACTCATTACATCTTTATCATCGGATTCTCTTTCTTACCCTCTCTCTTTCTCTCTCTTTCTCTCCCTCTTTCTCTCTCTTTCTCTCTCTTTCTCTTTCTCTCTCTCACTTTCCCCCTCTCTCTCTAATTATCTTATAAATACTTTAACAGAGAATGAATGGCTTCTAGCTCAGAATAGATGAAACTGAATATGTTATCTATCTCTAAGTGAGGCAATGAAAGGCTATGAAATACCAGATGTCTGAATTCATCCTGTTTGATTGCCATTATGTTCATACAGTCACAGATTTCTCTGTTCTAAATGTTCCATCCAACATTTTCTCCATCGCCTGGATGTTTATGTGGCAATCTGATGGCATAGTTGCCTAGCAACGAGTGATGATGCTCAGGTGCTCAGGAGTTTTTCAAGTACGCATGGCCTAGGGGGAGGATATTTTGATTTATCCATCCAGCCTCCCAAGTTTTATTGCAGTATCTATTTTCACTTCTTCCGGCCGTCGTGGCATGCAGCATATTTGCGTTTACAATTTACAAAACATTAGGAGATGACATTACCGATACATCATCCATCACATTTTCTATTTATAGTTTTCTACCTCTTGAGGTGATGTAATTCTTTAAAGTTCAGGGCTAATTTAGTGTTGTCAACTTCTAGGAAGTAGACTGGGTTTAATTTCCACCTGAGGGGAAATGCAATTTGCTTTATAACACAATTACCTGTGTTATTTGATGAAGTATATAAGGATTGAAGCTATAACCAAATTATAAGGAAAACATAGAGTAAGTAGATCTTCTTTGCTTTCAATATAATTATTGGGTTGATAATTTCAACTCTTTATATTTTTAAACTAATGTTCAGGTAAAATGAATTTATTTGATGGACACACGTATCTATAAATATTATATTGTGTGTGCTCTTGGCATGTTTTTTTTTGTTTATTTGCAATTCATTTTTTTTCAATATTTCCAACTTGTGTAATTTAAATTCCAACAAGATCCAAGTATAGATCCAAGTATTGAACACACATGTACCTAGTCATGAAGGGGTTGTTCCAATGCTACAAGATTCAGTGTGGGAGTACAGTGGTACATGTATTGGTCATGGATGGCTCTTGACTCTTAAACGAGAGGTCTCTGGTTCAATGCTTGCTCAGTGCTCAGGGAAAAAATACTTTAAACATTGTGGGGGCTACTTTTCAAGCTTGCTTGCATGAAAATAACACTCTTTAATTTGTTTTGCATTGAACTCTATGCAAATTTTGGGGGCTCTTTTATGACTTTCGTGGGCTCTTTTGGGCATTTCGGGGGCTAATTTGCCCCGAGCCCCCGTGTATTTTTTTCACTGTCAGTGCTCATACCCTCAAACAAGATGTTTTACCCACATTTGTCCCTCTGCACTCAGGTCTATTACATGTAAATGAGTTCCTAGTAGCGCTGGGGTGATAATAATTACACGGCCCTGATGGAAGAACATTATTAATGAAACTGATGTGGCTACCCTGGGCATATAAGACGAAATTATTCTTATTGGTAATCTGAAATGATATATTATATACCCTTTCGAAGAAATGCATCAGCAGAGAAGAAATAGATGTTTTATTCAGACGTGACCTGAATTCTACCTGGCTTTCTACCTAGCCTCATGAATTTTACATGGTAGAATCCATCTACTCTATCATCTAGCATTCCACTAGCTCGGCAGTTGCTCTTTCCTAAGTGCCATCCATCTTGCCCTAGTGCCTGTAATTCTAAAAAAAAATCTCTTAGGAAAATATAATCTAAGTTCAAAGCTTTACCATGCCAGATGCAAGCAAAAGCATCTGCCAAAGAAGAGAAAAAGAGAGAAAAGGATAAGATATTGCATACACTTTTCATCGCAGATACTTTCAGATTTATCTCAATTTTTATTGAAGTTGCATTTTGTTTCTGTGTCAGCTGCGTGTTAAACCAACAGGGAGTCTGTAGCCATAAGATTGGAAGTGTGTTTGTAGAGGTATTGGGTGTATTGGCTGGCGTGTTTTGACATCTATATTGGTATCGGTTGGACAGCACGCACCGGCTGAATAATTGTTTGAGTTGTCACCTTGTATGCAGTAAAACTGTTTATGAACTTGGGGTAATGAAACGCAGCTAGTGCACATAAATTCTACATGAAATGCATGACACCATCCAAACAGATAGACCTGGGAGATTAAAGACACAGTGCTAAAAAATGCTGCACAAAATATGTAATATATATTTGGAAAATGGAGTGTTACTTGGGACAGTTGAATAAATCTCAATAATCTGTTTTTATTTGGTTGTGTAGTGATGTCCCCATTTTTGGGGTGTATATATGGGGAATGGGTAGAAACACCCTAGATATTGAGATGGCTTAGCAAACTGTAGTGTCACAAAATAAAAAGAAGTACCGGTATCAAGAACGCAAACTTCATAATAAATGTTCACAATCACAATTTCATCACTTACAGGTACAACCACATTGTTAGGATATGATGGAGCTGGTAAATGCATATTCTATCTCACTGACCAGCATTTTTGATGGTTGAAATTCCACATATAATGCATCAAATACATGCGGGTCGCTTGTTTTTTCCAAAGGTTCATAATTCCTAAACACAATGTTCCTATATTCCAGCAGTTTCATATTTCTAAAAAATGAAATAGGGTTCATAATTCTGAACATTTGATGCATTATTAGTTATTCTGAAAATGAAACAGTTTAATTCTGAAGGTTCTTAATTCCACAAATGAAATATGGTTCATAATTCTGAAAATGAAATAGGGTTCATGATTATTAAACCTGCATAAAAACAATGTATAATCAAACCTACTGTGTATCCTTTCTATACATTATGAGAGGCAATTTATTTGACAAAGAGAAATATGTCAGGGAAGGTAGATTACACAGCATATTACTTTACTGAAATGAAACCCAACAGCTGCTGATGATGGATGTCATTTTTGTTATGAAAGGGAATGTCCTTTATTGAATTTTATTAAATTGAAAATCTATAATTGTTACGTCAGCTAAAAGCCTTATGGAGATCGATGATATGTCAGAGTGATACAAATGTATGAGGATTTATGATCAACTGAAAGTTGGAGAGTACCAGCTCATGGTCACACTAGGCGTGTCTGCACTATCTCGAGATTGCCAAATATCCAGCTATTTGAATTATCCTGATAGCAAACTATCCAGCTAATTTGCGTCTTCATTAGACCGAAGTAGCAATTTAGCTGGATAGTTGGTCGGGATAATATCCCAAGATATCTCGGTCTAGTTTGCGGTTTTCCGTGTTTACTAGTTGTACTAGCGCGGCGCTGAGCGGTATAGATCGCATGTGCGAGGAAAACCGGAAATCGTTGTGTATGATGGGATCAGGATATTTGACCCGTACTTCGGTCTAATGAAGACGGTCGCAAACTATTCCGCTAGTTGGGAAATAGTGGGATATTTTGCAAACTAGAACAAGATATCTTGGGATATTATCCAGACCAACTATCCAGCTAATTTGCTACTTCGGTCTAATGAAGATGCAAATAGCTGGATATTTCGCGATCGGGATAGTTCAAATAGCTGGATATTTGGCAATCTCGAGATAGTGAAGACGGGCCTACTGCACATCCATAGTTGTTTAATTTAGAAAGGTTAGGGTAGATTAAACAAGATAATTGATTTAGATGGGATGGGGCAATTTTTTTGACATACCAGAAGTGAGAAAGTATGTCTCTAGCCATCAACCAATGTTTGTTCAAATTGAGTTTGGCATGAAAAGCATTGCCAACTATGATTAGAAGTACTTTAGCTTCATGGTGAATCAATATTATAGACCCAAAGTCTATGTTATGTAATATAAAAATGTGATGTTCATGTAATACTGCTTTAAAAAATGCATAACAAGCAAAGATTTTGAAGAGAAGCAAACTGGAATGGGAAAGATTCTGGCAGGGCACTACTATATATTGCATAACAATCTTCAACAGATGATTTTATCTGTGTAGTTGATAATCTCATACAAAACGTTACATGGACATCGTCATATCTTTTGCCCCAACCTTACAGAAGACTCAAATAGCAATGCAAACAACAAAACTTGACTGGGGAAATAGCAGACTTCATTTAATATATAATTGGTTGATGTTTAAAATAATCAGCAACTTAACCTGATTTATAGAAATGTACAAGATTTGTGAGGCATCAAATCCATTTAAAGTCAAATGCTCAAGGTGCACTAGTGCAGAAAACCCAGAAGAAAGCACTATATACACAAAAGTACAAAATGAGTAGGAGGGAGCATTAAAAAACAGGACAAAATAATTCATTATAGGCCAAATCAAGCAGATACGTTTCTAGATTATTTTGTTAACACTTCAACTGATCTGCTAGTTCTGATCTCTTGAGGGAGATCAATCCACAGTGATTATTATTTCTTGTTATTTATGATACACCCTTTCTCTCCCATTCAACACAGCACTGTTGCGGGATACGTTAATGTGATAAATCATCTATTGAGAGTCAGAAAGGTGTTTACTCTATGTAAAATGATACAAATTAATGTCTTTCTGACTATTCATCATTTCTTACTATCTATGTTTACCATTGCTTTTTGTTCTCTGGTGTATGACTTTTATTACCTTTCTACTTAGCTTGATTGGGCGTTTTTACTTAGATGAGATGATTTTTCAAGTTGATTGCGTATAAAATATTGATGGTGTCTACCGAAGCATAGCTTTGCTGTTAATCATTTTTTTCAATTACTCTAATGAAAAAGTTTGGAATGATCTGCTCAGAACCGGGAGTGCATTGGCTCGTAACGATCAACATAGTTATAATGCCCTTCTAAATCTCAACAGATGAAATGTTAATATCTGATCAATGTAGATGCATGAAGCATTTAAACTTCTTGAAAGAAATTCACCTGTTCCTGTACTCTGCTTATTTGTAAATACAGTACCGGTAGTCATGTGCAAATTTTGTGAGCAAATATCATACCTCGAGTTCAGCTAAAGCTTCATTGCTTCAACAACTAAATAATTCATATTTGTTGTTATTTGAGAATACAGTGACTTTGTAGAGTTCAATGTATTGGAGAAGAAAATAGGATTGAAAGCCGAAAGCCAAGAGTAATTTGATTATAAGCCATGCCGAAGTAAGTTTAGATGCTATCCCTAGGGGTAGGGTTATTCATGCGAGAAGGATTGTTTGGGGGGATGTAATGTATCGTTCGTTGCCATGGGATTCCTCATCGAAAGCAGCTTTACATCTGCAGAGCTCGACTGATCACCGTCAATGCCAGCCGAGCCACGCTCTCATAAATTATGCAAGGTTGATGGTCTGCAGATGGATAAGATGAGAAGGCATCCATCCAGCGTGGACCGGACCAAACCTCCTCTCGGCAACCGTCCGATGATAAGGATGATGCCGCATAGCCATGCTCCGGTGATTGAGTACAACTAGAGAGCTCTCGATCTAAAGCTTGCGTTGTTAAACACACTGGATACACTCGAGTATTCTCTTCATTACACGCTCATGCAAATTGCTGAATTGCACCCTGGGAATGATGCGGGTTAGCTCTGTCATTGGAAGAGAATGTTTTTCCTTCCTCTCCTCCCCTCTCCCTTCACGTTCACTGTCCTAGCTCGCCAGAGGCAATCGTGTGCATTAGTGAGTAATTTGGAGTGGCCATTTTGGCTCGTTCATCGGCGTTTTGCGATGCATGATCGTACATTCGCTTGATCGCCTACATCCTCCTAACTCAAGCAGGTAGGGCAATCAACGCTTTTGTGGAGCACATAGTGAGCGTACTCCTACAACGCACGCACGGATACTTGCTGCGGGATGTCATCGGGTCAAGCAGAATCTGTGTTTACATTTAGCGAAGGAAGCGTGGCCCTACACTCATTTCCTGAGAGATGTTATGGATCCATCGACGAGTGCCTGGTGATGCCGCCGCAAGAAAGAGCAGAGCATCTTGGAATCTAACATTGCATGAATTTTTGACAACTGAGGAGATTAATTCTATTTCTATTAAAACCTGCTACCTGGCTCATGGCATGCATTTATGTATTTGGAGCAGGCCGCGGGTGACATATACACTGCTCTTAAGCCTCCATTTTCATTTACTTGAGCTGTTATGCGTTGTGACCTGCATGTTTATATCCACCATCCATGAAGAGAGATATCTTTTCAAGCAGTAGCTAGCGGCCGACACATCTCACCCATCACATCCTAGATGTAAATATCAACATTGATAGGAAGAATGCTGATATTGGGGTCATTGTATTCTCTTCGAGGTCATCATCATCATCATTGTCATTGTCTGTCATTGCTCAGTGATTGGGAAGACATCGCGGCCGTGCCTGCCAAACTGTCTGAATCCAATTGATTGAGGCTCGTCTAGCTCCTACCTCTCAGCTGATTGATTGGCAGTTGATCAATTCCCCGGGAACACTGGCTAGGGTCCAGCCCACTCAAGCCAACCAACGCTAATTTCATTCCACGCTATTTTTGATATACCTGCTACTCTAATATCTACCTCAGCTCATCAGTTGTACAGTGGGATGCTTGAAGGAGAGTATAGCTCTGCTGTGATCGCTCTTGGAAAGATGTGGATCACATCTGAGTGAGGTCTTTTTGAATGGTTTACCTTGCTTATATTATTTGTAAGAATTGCTTCGAGTGGTGACATATATAAACGCATACATTATAATTTGTTGAGTTTTCAAATGGATTGGTCGTTGACTCTTCAGTAAGGCAGAATATCTAAATCATTCAGGTAATCCACAGCTACTCTATGTGCTATGGTAACGTGCACTTTGCAAGACTTGAAGTGGATTTATAGATTGTGTGTACTGAAATTGAGCTTATAGGATAAAGCGTTTAAATCTCTATCCTTTTAATTTCAGAGTATTATGAATTAAATCCAAGGACATAGCGCTTCGTTGGATTGGATTTCATTTCATAATCTGAATATCAATATATTTTTGAGTGGAATTCTGCAACAGTGACAGTGACATCCACAAGTAAACAAGCCGGATCATAGCTATGATTGGAATCATTGTTCAATAGTATAATTTAACAGAAAAATATAAACATATCGTCATACTGGTCAGGGAGAATTACATGTAAATGCATGTTTGATGCCGAAACGGGATAGGAAATACCAATGTTGGAGATGTGCATCACTGATGTGGAACTTTGATTAGTGGGATACACTCATCACTTGTTGAGACAAAAGATTTCTGTGTTGATTGAGCTAATAATCTCCAGTTTCCTGTCTAGTCTCGCTATGTTCCATGGTGAAAGTGAACTTCATGTCATGTGATCATGCATGTATCGTTCATTAATCTCCTGGATTTAGACATGTCTTCACTTGATCTGCTGGGCTAGGATAGCTAGAGAAACAGGCTGTACGTGCATGTGCCCTTTCATATAATGCAAACATACATGGTTGCAGTCTTACAATAAAATTGAATAATCTTGGATCACATGCACTCTCTAAGTGTGTTGTCAAATGCCAATGTAATACAAGTTCAATTTAGTTGGCAGAGAGATACAGTATTGCTAATGTTTTGGCTGATCCAAAGATTGAAATTCCAAATTTGTCATAAAAAGGATATTAAGAGCATCGGGTGAAGGTTAGGCCACTATCAAAGCAGCTGAAGCATTGCTTTGATATCCGTCTGCTCTAGTGCTGCTCCATGGCAAGTAAGGATAAGACAACAACAGCTCTAAATAATTCATGACCTAGCTGCATCATATGACATCCTGAGTACACATTATCACACTTGGGTCTTGAGAAAGCCCTGGCTATTATCGATGGAATCGCACTGTGCTAATGGGACGACTTATGTGTGCTGCATGGAAAACAATCACTCCATAACTCATCATGTAATTGCACCAAGCCGGCTTTATAACAGCGTTAGCGTGCCCGCTGCTGACTGAAATTCACTTTCATTGGGGCTGACTAATAACATCTCAGGGGAGATAGAGGAATAAAAAAAAAGAGTCCGGTCTCTAGCTGTATGCTGCTGTGAACTTGCATGTACATGGTGAAATAGGTAGGAAGTGTTGTATTACTATTACGGTAGGTAGTACAGAGATTGCCTGACTGACTGAGATCAACAGTGGTCACTTCTATCCGCCAGATTCGAGGTTGGATGCTATTCACCTCTTTATATACTGAGCAGTTTTGTTTTTAGCAGTACAATATGTGACTAATCATATATTCTGGAAATACAGGGAATTTCACTCTTGGATGCTTGCTGAGCTTCATCGATATTATTTCAGTATATTCCTATCCTATAGTCTGCTACTGCACAAATCACGGCATGGCAACTGTCATAGAGTGCTAACGAGTCACTTCCAACTCTAAATTGGCAACGTAGCATCGGCAACGTAGCACTCGCAGCGGCTAGAGTTCAAGCGGATCTAGGAGTCGATCAGGCCATGTTCTAAAATTGTATGTACAGCGTTGATTTGGTCACGAAGAACACAACTTGTTCCAAGAAGGGAGTTCTTGTGCTGCTGTTTTAAAGTCAGAAGAATATTTGGAAAGTTGTGTTTGACACGGATATCATGTCGTGGATTAAGTTATGGATCTATGACACATTTCTTTAACTACTGCCATTGGAATTAAGTGTAGTGTGTCTCAGATAGGACGGGAGTCGACGCAGTACAGCATTGAGTCATCGTGTACAAACACTTTTGGCTATATTTGCCTTTAGATATGAGTACATTGTTGCAGTTGACATATTTTGTATGAATTTCCAATATTCGAAATAGCAGACAGCAAACTAGAAGAGGGAGAGCTCAAGAGAAGAAAGAGAGTGAGTACTAGCTCCTTAATGATTCTGTTTGATGATACGTGTCGGTCGGCACGGCATTGTCAAGATGTAAGCGGACAAGAAGTCATGATCGATCAAGCAAACATACCCCCATCCATCGCCTCCACCTCGCCCCGATCCCTGCCTCAACTCTCAAGCTCTTTATTCGACGACGACGCTATTCCGCGCCTTGATGGGTCTTTAAAGGAAGAGGAGAACGACGAGAAAGAAGAAGAAGAATCCGTGCTTCTGAGTGACTTCCATGATGTTCTCTTGGAGCTGGCTGCGTCCCCTGATGATATGGCTTGCTTCACCATCACGTCTGCAGTCGGTGGTGCCCACCTGCCAACAGCGTTCAGTCTTGAAGAACTTTCGCCGGAGGAATGCAGAGATTTATCCGCTGTTTGCTTTCCAGTCAACGGAAGGTTTGTTCACTCTACATTTTTAATTTTTCTTAAGAGAAGTGCATGAAAAGGTAGATATGCTTTATCTGCGAATCGTGTTTAAACTCTAATCAGCATTTAGAATTGTATTTGTAGAAAATTAGGCCTGCTCAAGAGACAAATTTTATGTTCGAACCATGATGCTGCAAACATTTGATGCATTACTACGTGTATAAATGTTTGAAATATGAAATGCAACTGTGCAATGTGTCCCATGCTACATATATGCGTTATACATTTAGTTCATCCCCAAATGAAAATTCTTTTAAAGATAACTACCAATAGTCAGTGTGTTTTTTTCCTCTTCCTTTTTGGATGTTCAATAACTGGATGTAAGATATCATATTAGCAGATACAATGTACAGATTCAACAAATAATGCAGTGAGGCTGGTAGGTGATCGTCGTGACTTTTGAACTGATTTATTCCGTCGTGAAAAATAACCGACATATTATTTTCATAGTCACATCCGGAGGGTTGCACCAATCTTGAAGATTGTTTACAGCTACTTGGCTTTAATTAAACACATGACCTTTGTAGGGCTGTGACATATATTGGTCTGCATGAGCAAGAGAAAATGAAAATTGGTCAGATCAGATGCAATGCAAAGTGTGAAAAATATCACGTAGATGAATCTGCTTGGTCTAATGGCCCATTTACACATCCCCAAACACCATTTTGAAAAATCATTGATTTTTGGACTGCCATTAAAACTACTGGAAAACCCATTTAAAAAGTTTGGCGTTTGCTCATTCTGATTTTCTGGTGAGTATACTGCTCATGCACGACTTTCCGCTACTCTGCGTGCAATCGCGCAGAGAAGCAAGGAGAGTCACTTGACCAAAAAACAGAATCTTACAAAAGTTTTGAGAGTAGGCATACACTGCAAAAATCTGTTAACTTTTGGCAGGCATATAACAAAACAAAACAATATCAATCGCAACTATGTGCATAAGAGATAGGAGACTGCAAACTTGCGATTGATTGGAGGACTTACGATTGATTTGGATCAATCGCAACTCTTTGTAAGACGGGGCCCAGGGGTACGTGGATTTGTCTATTTCAGTTTTTTATCATATTTGCCGGTTCCGACAAAAATGCAGGTTATGTCTGCGTCGTATTGTGCAAAACCTTCTTTCAGAATACATGTATATTAGATGCTAATCTGCGAAACACATGACTCCTATAACCAAGCATTTAAGCTTCAAAATTGTGCTTGCTTTCAATTTTTCCCTTCATACATAATAATTCTTAAGTAAGGCATTCAGCTCGTAAAACTGTAAATGCTAGCTGTCAAATTCACCTTCACAGTACACCTGTCCATGTATGTCTTGGATTTCCTGTTGGACCTGAATGAACTTGTGATGTTATTTCATGATCTCATCTGCACTTCCTACTGGAACATGCAATATACATGTACATGCAGGACTGGGATATCCTTTGTGCATGTTATTCATTAGTTCATTTTCCCCCTTATCTGCACACCATTGAATTTGTTAATAGTTCATAATGTACCTGATAGTGGTGTAAAGTGTATGGGTCTTGTCATTGTCATTGGGGAGAGTCCCTATAGGTGAACAAACAATGCGAAAGGGAAGCAGAGAGGAGCAGGGGCAGGGAGGGGGCAGTCCCCCAGAGGAGATGGGACGCTACAATTTAAAAGTAATTAAAAGCGTCTTCTCTCTCCACCTCTCTCTCTCTCTCTCTCTCTCTCTCTCTCTTTTGTCATTCAAAATTGAGAGGCTTATACCCCTTCTCCCCTTCTTATTAGCACCAATCTTGCATTAATTTTATTTCGTAAAATAGAATTTCTTTTGGCCATAATCGTTTGGCCCTTGTTTTTTTTATTGGGGGGGGGGGGGGTAGCTTTTTACTATTATGTTATTTTTCATGCATTTAGTGAACCTTAGAAAATATCTTTGACTACTCTTAAACTCTCAAACAAGTTATGCATCATGGTTATCCATCATGAGAAGAAACTTCACGTACCCCCAAAATTTCTTCAGCATGACCATGATGTATCATTCTCCATTTCAGCAATTTCTATTTTAGTCCCCAGGAATGCCAATCAGAAAATAGGATGATAAAGTGTAGCTGTTCTGCTTTGCAACTCGTATTAGTGATCATGATAAATCAAACTAGATAATGTATCTTTTAGGGATTAGGGTTAAGGATATTTTACATTTGACTTCCGATCGTGTTACTTGTATGATGATGATACGTGCCTCAAGAGAGATGATCATGAAATCTAAAAGTAAGCAGAAGAAAGTCTAATTTTGCTCTAGTTTTTAATGATGACATGTGTCAGTTGGTAGGAGAGATAATGTTTTTGCCTTGAAGGCATTTGCCCATTTAGAGAGAGAGCAGGAAAGAGGCCAAACAAATACATGAAGAGTTGCTTTTAATGAATGTAAGATTAGACAAATAAATTTAGAGGGAGTGACTGAGAAAGAGAGTCAACAAAGGGAAAGACAAAAGGGAGTGGTGGAGGAAAGATAGAAAGAGACAGAGAGGCAGTTAGAAAGAAAGGCAGAAAGAGAGAGAGACAGGGAGAGAGAGAGGGGGAGAGAAAGATGTAGAGATGGAGTGATAGAAAGAGATATAAAGATAGAGATAGACAGACATAGGGAGATAGGGGGTCAAAAGAAGATGGAGGAAGAGATAAAATATAGAATGAAAGAAAGAGAGAAAAGAGGTGAAGGGAAAAGATAAACCATAAATGGTACAACAGCATGATAAGGACAGACCCCATAGACTTTTGATTAATGAAAGGTTAATTTAATGAGAAATATATACATTGTATCAGTTGCTATATATTAAACATTTCATCAAGAACAGTACAATCATGGCAGTGTGATTCAGCCTATTGTAAATTTATCTGAAAGAATCAAAACATAGAAGCTAGAATAGTGTGATACGTGATCTCCTGCAGGTCAGAAACTGTATCGAATCACTGAATCATAATCAGAGGATGGTAATTAATCTCTTCCATTATGTTCTTTAGGAATACGTGTACTTTTTGTGGCTTTTGTAGTCAATGACAACATGAGGTCATCATGATCCTTTAAATAAATGTTCCACATTTAGCTGCAACAGCAATGTATACATGTAGGCTGTATTAGTGCTGATGAGATAGTGTTTTGGTTTGAATTTTGCAGTTTAAAATTCTCTCATTTCTCACATTGACACAAATGTCCCATGAAGTGAAATCTCCTAGAATCATTGCCATCATGTTGTGGGCAAGTCCACCTTTGATGGAAATATCATTGTCAGAAATGAGTCATCACTGAGATTATAGTCCCATTGTTCCTTTCATTGTTTTATAACTGATACAGTTGACTCTTATTAAAAATAGGTGCCATGTTTTTTTGTTTTTTTGTTTGTTGTTGTTGTTGTTTTTTTTTTGGTTTTTTTTTGGGGGGGGGTGGTGGTCTTCAGTCAAACACGTAAAAGTTATATAACGAGAGACTAATTCATTTTTGTCTGCATGGGTCTTTGCATGAACTCTACATTAACATTTGGTCAAATGAATTTATTAGAGAACACATTTTAAGAGACCTAGCTGTATAGCCAAGATATGAAATAGAAAACAGAATATAGGATTTCCCAGCCAAATTCGCGAGTTTGTCATTCAAATTAATTTGTCTTGCGTTCAAATTCGACGGTTTTAGTGCAGTCAAGTATATCTCAGGTTTATATTCCCTTTTCTAGTTTTCAAATCTATGGAATTTTTGTTAGAATATACGTATGTTTCATTCAAATTAATGAACAATTTGCTTCTTTCGCTATTTGGTCATTCGATTTGGCGCAACGCGATTTTCTGACAACACGACGGTGTACTTCTAGCATTCTAATTCATTTGTAGCATTCAAATTAGCACTTTGTGCACTTAAATTGATGGTGGTCAATATACATTTCTCGTTTATTACACACTTTTTAAAGCTCATTCTTTTTCTTTCAAGATTGTTTTTTCATGTGTATTTCATCATATTTCATTTTTTTTGCATTTATTCATACTTATTAGATTTATCTGATATTCATCAGCATTTAAGTTTGATTGTTAAGAAGAAAAAAACGACTTGCATCTACGGACCTGATGGTCTCAGTATATTTGTAAATGTTCATGTAAGGAAGTTGCTTGTCTTAAGTTTCATCATAAATATATCATCATAATTTCATCATAATTTCATTATGGAAGAAGGGTACAATATTGTGACTGGGGTAGGGACTAGAGTCAACAATTTGAACATGTCTTTAGCCATCGATCTGCTGGCGGGCAAGTAAACTATGAAACTCTTTAAGAAAAACAGAGGGGTGTGCTGGGTATAAGAGACGATGTGAATTACTTTTGTAAAATTCCGAGTCTGTAGTAAATAGGGGCGTTTGAGGGTACCCCCACCTTTCCCGGGTATATGAACATGTCCGTGCAGAAATGCCATATGCCTTGATTTCGCCCCTTCTTTACTTTATGTTTGACTACACCCATTTGCATTGTCCTGAAAATAATAAATGGAATAACAGCTTAGACCCCAATGGCAAATCATGCATTTTAACTGCATTACTTAAAAACTATAAAAGTTTGATGCAATTCTTCCCCCTAACATTCCTAACTTGAATAAAAATATTACGAATACGAATGACAGGTGTTAATTTGAAAGATAAAAATTATGCTTCGACAAGTGAATATTAATTTGAATGCTAGTTGAGCAGTTTCTAAATTGAATGACAGATCTATGAAACCCTTCGACCAAAATCCTAAATTAAATACAAAAACTGGAAAAGTGAATGATAATTGGCATGGCAAAGCCGATCTGCGCTAACTTAAATGCAAAGTAAATGAATTTGAATAACAAACACGCGATTTTGGCCGGGAAATCCTATACTAAAATATTTGTATCTATTAGAGGTCAAGTTTTACGAGACCTGTCTGAATGCAAGATAGGAAAATGAAAATGAAAACCAAACTGTTCCTTTGTTTCATGC